AATGTTTTATTATTTTTATTTTATGTGTATGAGTGTTTTGCCTGCATGTATACATGCATGCAGTGCCCTCAGAGGCCAGAAGAGGGAGTCAGATCCCCTGGAACTGGAGTTAAGGACAATTGTTAGCTGCCACGTAGATGCTGGGAACTGAACCCGGGTCCTCTGCAAGAGCAGCCAGTACTCTTAACCACTGAGCCATCTCTCCAGTTCTTAAATAAAATATTCTTTAAAATGCATTCCTTATTTTGATATAGGATCTGCTTACTCTTTTTACATTGTTAAATTAGTCTACAACAATATACCCACATTTATCAATTATGTAGCTTTCTAACCTATCAATTTACGGTGCAAAAAGTTTTTGTTGTTAGTTAGGAAGCACAAAATTACTGAAAAGTTCCTAGGATAAATTTTCATAAATTTGTAAGAAAATACAAAATATATACAATAGATCACAACCTTCTTAGTAACAATGCCCAATATCATCTCCCACAACAAGAATTTACCTGGTTTAAACTGCTTAGTCTCATTATTTCATTTTCAGCATCTGTAAAAACAATAAATGAACCTAACATTAAAATTACTTAGAATATTTTAATAACTGATTGCCATATTAAACTCAGAAGTGCAACCCCATTAAAATTAAGCATACTTATAAACACAATTAGCAAGCAGTTTGACAGGTTGTACTAAAAAACATTTTTGCCATTTTCTATTTCTGACTATAACAAATAAATTGTAAGTTTAAAAAATGCTAAAATCGCCAGGCGTGGTGGCGCACGCCTTTAATCCCAGTACTCGGGAGGCAGAGGCAGGCGGATCTCTGTGAGTTCAAGGGCAGCCTGGTCTACATACTGAGTTCCAGGACGGCTGGGGCTATAGGGAAACCCTGTCTCAAAAAGACCAAAAAAAAAAAAAAAACCTAAAATCCAGCTCTTTGGAAAAGTGTAAGAAAGAATTATCACTGAATTTTCTGATAAAAATAGTAACAACTGGGGCTGGAGAGATGGCTCCGAAGTTAAAAGTACTGGCTGCTCTTGCAGAGGACCCAGATTTGATTCCCAGCACCATGGCAGCTAACAACTGTCTGTAACTCCAGTTCCAGGGGATCCAGCATCCTCTTCTGATTTCCTCCGCATGTGCTGCATGACACAGGTGCACTTACATACATGCAAGCAATACACTCATACACATAAAATAAAAAACAATCACAGCCTTTTTTCTGATATCTTATCGAGGCTCAGTGGTTACCACTGCTCTTGGAGCTTCGCCACACCGCCCAAGGACAAGAAGAAGAATGCAGGGAAGTGGCTAATAAAGACAGAGACCCAGTAAACAAGTCTGGGGGCAAGGCCAAAAAGGGGTGGTCCAAAGGCAAAGTTCAGGACGAGCTCAACAACTGTTTGACAAGGCTCCATATGACAAACTCTGTAAGGAAGTTCCAAATTATAAACTCCCAGCTGTGGTCTCTGAGAGACTGAAGATTTGAAGTTCCCTGGCCAGGGCAGCCCTTCAGGAGCTCCTTAGTAAAGGACTTATCCAAACTGGTTTCAAAACACAGAGCCCAAGTAATTTACAACAGAAACACAAAAGGTGGAGATGCCCCAGCTGCTGGTGAAGATGCCTCAATATATTCAACTGACTGTACATTTGGAAAAATAAAACTTCATTAAATAATAATAATAATAATAAATATTTGAAAAAAAATAGTATAGCCAGGAATTGTATAAAGGTGTAAGACTATAAAGAAAAAAAAACCCTAAAAAGCAATAAAGTTTTACCACAACATTACAATCTCTTAATTATCTAAAGTGACTTAGAAGAACCCAGAGACAGAGTATCATGAGTTCAGCTGAAGTAATTCATTTAACATTCATTTTAGGAACACTGAGCATTTATGGCAAAGCCAGTGCTAGACAAAAAGATGGAAACATTTATTTCTTGCTCTCTATGGATTTACAATTCAGAAGTGATAGAAAACAAGTAAACATGATTTCAATATAGTGTGATACAGTAAACAGAGGTGCTATGAGAGCAAAGGAGGGGCAAGTGTCTAGCCCAGATCTGGTGGGCAAAGGGGCCCAGAGACGTGGCAGTGTGGGTACCCCGAAGTATACCTGCACTAAGATAGTATACTACTAGTTGGCTAATGGAAAAATAGGGACACTTTGCCCTGAAAAGGCAGCAAATACAATGGGGACAGAGCTAAGACAACACTACTGTCTTAAGGAGCCACTGACAGTCCACTAAGGCTAACGCTTACAATGCTGGGAGCCACGAAGAGTCTAAACTGAAGAGGCACACAGGGACCAGACAGACATGACAGTCCACTAGTGAAGTTCAGACTTCATCTTGCAGTTCCCAGAGAGCCATAAAGCCCTATAGAGCAGGAGTAGTTGCCTTGGGTTTCTGAAAATTTATTGTGGTTGCAGAATAAAATTTAAAAAAAGATGGATTGAAGAATAATGGAAACCAGAGAATAGCTAACACTTTTCTAATACTCACTCTGGACCAGACACTGTTCTAAAGGAATGGTTCAGTGGTTAACAGCACTGGCTGCACTTGCAGAGGACCAGGGTTTGGTTCCCAGTACCCACCTGGTGGCTAAGAATCATCCTGAACTCTAGTTCAGAAAAGGGACTCTGACACCCTTTTCTGGCCTCCGAGGGTAATGTATAGGTGCACTTATATGGAGGTAAAACACTCATGCACATAAAATATAAAGTAAATAAATAAAATTAAAGGAAATTTTGCAGCTAGTAACTCACATAGCCTGCATTACTACTACATCTCCTACAAGCAAGATACCATTATTGTCCCAATCTGCTTGTTCTTTATTTATTTACATGTGCACATATATACATATGTATGGGAGTGCGCCTCTGCACATGTTCACAAGCCAGAAGAGGGAATCCAGAGTCCTCCTCTATTACCTTCTGCCTATTCCTTTGAAACAAGGTTTCTCCCTGAAGCCAGGGCTCATGTTTTGTAGGCCAAGCAAGAAGCCAGCAAGCCCCAGTAATCTTCCTGTTTCCACCCTCCTCAGAGCTGGAGTTATAGGTGTATACAAGATGCTCAGCTTAATGTGTGGGTGCTGGGATGCAAACACTGGTTCTCACTATGCAGCAAGAACTCTTAACTGCTGAGCCACCTCTCCAGTCCCCAACCCTCTGTTGTAGTCTACTTTATTAAGAGATCTGTAACATGGTAGCAAATGCCTTTAATCCCAGCAGTTGTGAGGCAGGGGCAGGAAGATCTGAGTTCCAGGTCACTCTGGTCTATACTGTGAGCAGCCAGGGCTACACAGTGAGATTCTGTATCACGAGACTCTGTATCAGCCAGGGGGCGGGGGTACAGAGAGAGAGAAAGAATGAATACATATGAATGAATCTATAACAACTAACTTGAACAAAAAGATTTATGACTGACTGATGTAATTCCACGGTAACGAAGATGAAAAAAGAGGGAAGGACAAGGATAGCCGCTCCATTTCTTAAACTCAAATGGATCACTCAATACGATGAAGAGATAAAATTACTTTATAAATGAGCAGAGTTACTTAAAGTCCAGATCCCCACTGAGCTGCCTTCCCTTTGTCAAGTGACAGCTCCCAAGCCTGATGCACACTAAGAAGCCCTGGAGCTCCTCTGGAATGCAATCCTGAAATACCACTCAACAAAAGAGAAATTAAGGAAATAAAACTTATAGGGACTTGGTCAGGGTTGACTTCTAGAATTCTGCTTTGGGCACTAATAAATTACCAAGGTTGGGAAAGGAAAATGAGGGACAGGAGACAACAGAACTTTACTCTTAACTAATTTATTTTGAAAATCCATGTGCTCTATAGAGATGGTCATTTAGATAGGGAGCTCAGGATAAACTGGCATATGGGATATAGATAAGAGTGTTCATAAGCACACAAGGCTGCAAACTTCTAAAGCAAGAATGTAGAGAGTTCTTAAAGCATTTATACTAAGAGACAAGGACAAAATACAATCTAAAATTAGCATCTTCTCTGCTGAAGAGCTCCTGGTATGAATGAACATTGGCACTTTGCCTGTTTAAAAATCCTTTCTCATTTATGTTATGTGTATGAGTGTTTTGTCTGCCAATGTAAGTGCACCCATGTCATGCAATGCCTGAAGAGGACAGAAGAGTTTGGATCCCCTAGAACTGGAGTTACGGATAGCTGCTAGCTTCCATGTGGGTGCTGGGTTTCAAACCTGGGTCCTCTGCAATAGCAGCCAATGCTCTTAACTGCTGAGCCATCTCTCCAGTCCCCACCTACTTCATTTTAAAACCTCTTCTTCTGTACCTCAGAATACTAGTATTTAAAATACTAAGCATCAGCTGGAACATGGCAAAGAGTAGAATATCTATGGCTTTTGTCACTCAGTCAAGCTTTTACTTGCATGCAGATCACTTCAAAAGGTAACAATGGATTCCTGCATTCTCTAACTGGGCTGAGTAATTATAGAACGTATTCAGTTCTGTATTCTTGAAACAATCAGACCAATACCTCACCACAATTACTATGTACTTAAACACTTCTCAGACATCTACCTGGCTTCTTAAATCACTGATTTTCATGTAAACACTTAAGAGAGTAAGAAAGGAAAGTTGAGGGACACTTTGACAATTCTTAACCCTCTTAAGTAGAAAACTCCTATTTGTGACCTATTAACTATGATACTGAATCTAAACCAAACAATTCTATTCAAATTACATAGTCATTTCCATCAACATTCCATTTTCACAAAGTACTTAAGCTATTCGAGTGCTTGTCTCTAAAAAGAACTAAAATGCAAAGAAACACCAATGTAAAGTAGGTTCCAAACACTGAATACCAGTCAAAGCCTGCTGTAATCTGAACACTTCTTCCACTGAGGAATTCTGTGGAAGAACTCTCCCTTCCTCCATCACAGTGTCACTATGTCTCACAGCAGAAGCCTGCAGTCGATCACACTCTTCGGGTGTTTGTCTCTTTTCCACATGGAGCGCTTCGTGTTCTCTCCTCAAGATATCTCTGTCACTGTCTGCAGAAGATAACTGCTCATATATCTCTTTTATTTTATCTTCAAGTTCTTCAATTTTTTTGGTAGATTCTACTTTTTCAGTCTGTAGAGCCTGAATAGTTTTTTGCATCTCATACATTTTAGAGTGATCAGTTCCTGTAACTCCTGAGCCACCTAAAGCATAAAAAAGGGAGGAATCAAATATCAAGTTCCAAAAAGTAAATAGCTTGCTATATACAATATGAAGACTTGAGAGTTTAGAACTTGGAAAAGTTAAAAAGAAATTATTAAGCCAGGCGTGATGGCGCACGCCTTTAATCCCAGCACTCGGGAGTCAGAGGCAGGTGGATCTCTGTGAGTTCGAGGTCAGCCTGATCTACATAGTGAGTTCCAGGACAGCTGGGGCTACAAGGAAACCCTGTCTCAAAAAGACCCCCCCCAAAAAATTATTATAACTAAGCATGTTTAAATAAATAAAGAAGTTGAAGAAATACATTATTTGAATCAAGTACCAAAAACCTAAGTATCTAAATTTGAAAGAAAGTGAAAATCTCTCTAGTTTTTGTGTAGCGTCACCACCAAACAATGCAAAGAAATCTCTGAGCTGAACTCTCTACCCTGAGGGCAGAGGCCTTTCCATTTCTAGGCTCATGAAAGCAGTGATGTCCCTGCAAACTTTGGCAGTGAGCAGAAATGGTCATTTTCTTGTCACCAGAACTTAGTCTAAGTTTACAGCAGTGTTCTGAGTGTTAGATTTGTCATTAAGTCATAGCACCTGTGAAACTAATAAAACTCGTAACAGCCGGGCATGGTGGTGCACACCTTTGATCCCAGCAGAGGCAGGCAGATCTCTGTGAGCTCAAGGCCAGCCTGGTCTACATAGTGAGTTCCAGGCCAGCTGGGGCTACAAAGAGACCCTGTCTCAATAAGACAGAAATAAACAAACAAAACCTCATAACCTTGCTGTAACAGATTTTCCAGTTCTTCAATTCGTTCTTCATAGTCACTTAATTCCTCTCGATGCCTGCGACTTATCTCTGTGAGTTTCTGCTGATGTGTGTTCTGCAATACTGACATTTCATGCTGATGGTCATCAATTTCTTGACTTCGGTTCTGCTGAAGTTCCTTTAAAATCAAGAACAAATTTAACCAAATGTATAATCAATTAACTTACCTAAGTGATTAACTTCACTGCTGTCCAAAAGTCCCTATTATGAAATACAATTCTCTGAACATATCAAAGCTGCAAAGAACTCAACCAGAGTCCCCAAACAGGGACAATTCTGACAGTCACTCCTTCCTTTCTGAGGCATTAAAAAGTTATCCTATGGTGAAACAAAAGATAAGCAAAAACACCTTTTCTCTAATACCTGTGACCGGGAACTCCTTTTCCTAACAGCACAGTCCATCAATACTAGAATCAAACCTCTGGCTAATTTTATTATTTTTTTTGAGTGAAGGACTTGTTATGTGGCCCTGGTTGGCCTGGAACTCAGTATATAACCCAGGCTAACCTTGAGCTCATTACAATTCTCCTGTCTCATCTCCCCAGTGCTGCCACCACACTCAGCTCCTCTTGAATCTTGAAAGCAGTGGCAGTGGTGTCACTGCAAACTTCTGGCAACGAGCAGCACTGGCCAGTTTCCTATTCTTTGTAACAGAGTCCAAGTTTACGGCAGAGTCCTGCTTTAGATTACCAGACTTATCACTTAGTTATGCCCTCTTATCTTTGAAACTGGCACAACTAAAACAGATTCAAGTTCTTCAATTTGTACCTGCTAACTTAGTACCACTAGTCTCCTGTTCAGTGTCTTTTCTGCCAGTCCTGATGAACTCCCAAACTGTCAAGACAGGTACCTGCTATCCAGCTGATGAACAACATCTATCTTAGCTGCCTGATCTTGATAGGAGCATCATGAGAGCTGCATTCTCAAGTCTGGCTAGTATAGTCTGCTAGATTCCCAAACTAGTTCCCATTCCTGTCCCTCCTGACACAGACTACTTGGGGTCCTGCCAGTAAAAGATATGTGTTGCCTACCACCAAGAATTCTAACTGTAATTAGCTGCTATTTCCCAAGAAGACAAACTTTCATTTATGTCCCAGCTCTGGGTCTTTACATCGAAACCTCAGAATAATCCTATAAGGTAGGTACTAGGTCTGAATTACTGATGATAAAACAGAATCTGGGATAACTTAAAACAACATGCCCAAAGAAACACAGCTGGTAAAGGTGCAGCCAGGACTCACACACAGGTCTGACTCTGGAATATGCCCACACCTGTAATCATAAGCTCCAACTAAAAATTCTGTACCTGACTCTAATTTAAAACAATTCACTGCCATGATGACTGTATGTAACTAAGTCTTTTCTTATAAAAAAAAAAAAAAGTAACTGACAGCCAGGCTTGCCTTTAATCCCAGCATTCAGGAGGCACGGAAGATGGACCTCTGTGAGATTAAGGACAACATGGTCTACATAGCAAGTTCTAGGCCAGCTGGAGCTACCAGGAAACCCTGTTTCAAAAATACAAAATAAAAACAAACACAAAAAAGAAATAATTGACAAAGACCAGCAAAATTTTATCACTAAGGTAAAATAATTATCTACATTGAATATATTAGCATTTTTGCCAGTCTTTTTAAACCCTAAACCCCTGAAATGTCATCAACCTAAGAATGAGAAACAGCAGAATAGAAAGACCTATGAAAAATATACTTAGTGAAAACATGTGTACAACCAAATGATCCTGGATACACTTAATCATAAAGAATAAATGAGTTGAAAAAGAATAAAACAGTTAAAATAATCATAATATATAAAAGCACTTAACAAACACTTCTACTTTGACATACCTTTAATAATAGATTTTAAATGCATAATAGGCATTGGCAATAAACAATTTGACTTACCTTAATAATATTTTGCAGTTTGCAGATTTCTGTTTGATCAGAGCTCTGTATTCCCCGTGCCTTAGTTTAGAAAAAGAATGAAAAAATAATACTAGATTTTTCTATGAAACAGAAAGTCATAAGCTAACTTAAATTAAAAAATTATTTTTTAAAAAAACAAGAACATTTCCCAGACATTCTAAGAACTCCAAGCACTTTTCAAAGACCTCAGTCCATTATACATAATAAATGTTTAATACATAATAAATAAAAGACACCATATTCAAGATTTTTGTTTTGTTTTGTTTTGTTTCAGACAGGGTCATTCTATAGCTCCAGCTGGCCTGGAACTCTATGTAGACCACTCTGGTCTCGAATTCCTAGAGAGCTGCCTGCCTCTGCTGGGATAAAAGGTGTGTACCATCACGCTTGGCTCCTCAAGACTTTTTTTAAACTAAAAGGGGTGTGGGGCATTAGCTTTACAAAATAAAGTTAAGCTGGGGGGGAGAAAAAGAACAATATTTCACTTAGCTAAAAAAAAAATCAACATGCCAGGCATGGTGGCACACGCCTGGTCTACATAGTGAGTTCCAGGACAGCTAGGGTTACAGGGAGACCCTATCTCAAAAAAAGACCAAAAAAAAAAAAAAAAAAAAAAAAAAAAAAAAATCAACACAAGGCTTTTGCCCTCCATTGTCCTCTGTACGCTGGCCTCAGTCTCTCACCATGCTCTCTCACAAGACTTTCAGAATCAAGCGATTCCTGGCCAAGAAACAAAAGCAAAATTGTCCTATTTCGTAGTGGATTCAGATGAATACTGGTAATAAAATCAGGTACAATGCCAAGAGAAGACACTGGAGGAGAGCCAAGCTGGGTCTGTGAGGATTCACACACGATGGCACACTGACTGTTTAAGCTAAATCATGGTCATCATTAGGCCTACCAAATGGAACTGAAAGGTTTCACCCTGGAGATTTGGCTGTATTAGGAATCTGATTTACCTTTTTTTTTTTTTTTTTTTTTGAGACGAGTCTCCCTGTAGCCCCAGCTGTCCTAGAACTCACCATGGAGACCAGGCTGGCCTCAAACTCACAGAGATCCACCTGCCTCTGCCTCCCAAGTGCTGGGATTAAAAGGGTGCCACTACGCCCGGCCCTGATTTGCTTTTTTATCTGCTTTACATGAGCGAATTGATTGGTTCAGTAATAAATATGTAGAACCTTCAAAACAAAAACCAACATGAGGATAATTAAGCAGCTTTCTTTATTTAAATTTTGTTTTTATTTATTTGTATTTTTTAACTTTTACAAAAACTGAGAATTTCATATATGCGTATAAGGTGTTATTTGTTTTTATTTTATGTATATGAGTGCATGTATATACGTGTACCCATATGTGCAATGCCATGAAGGTCAGAAAAGGGCATCAGATCCCTGAAACTGGAGTTACAGACGGTTGAAAGTTGCCATGTGAGTGCTAGAAATGAACCAAATTCTCTGCAAGAGCAGCCAGTGCTCTTAACCAGGTCCCTTAAGCAGCCGTCTAAGAGGACAGAAAGCTATCCAATATTAATGCCAATGGAGGGGAAAAATCTTTAAAAAATGATTTTACACAGAGCTGAGAATGTAGCTGTTAGTGGAGTGCTTGCCTAGCATAGGCCTATAATCCCAGCACTTGGGAGGTGGGGGCAAAAGGATCAAAAGTTCAAGATTACCCTAGGCGACATAGCAAATTTGAGACCAGCTTGAACTACATGAAAAAAAAAAAAAAACCCAAAAACCCCAAATTAAAATAAATGATTGTACCCATAAGGTCTCTACAGAATTCTCAATACAGAATCATCTTTGGTTTGACCAAAAAATCTTTCATTCAAAGTTGTATATTGCTCATTTATCTTTAAATTTTTAATTTGACACCTAGTAATTGTACATGTTTATGGGGTTCAGTATGCTGTTTCAATTCAATATGTATACTATATAATGTTCAAATCAAGATGATTAAGGCCAGGTGAGGCAGTGCAAGCCTTTAGTCCCAGCACTCAGGAGGCAGAGGCAGGAAGATTTCTGTGCGTTCAAGGCCAGCCTGGTCTACAGAGTAAGTTCCAGGCAGGCAGGGGCTGCAAGGAGACCCTATGTAAACAAAAACAAACAAACAAACAAAAAAAACCCACAAAGAAAAAAGGAAAAAAAAAAAAGGCAAATCATTAAATTTCTTTAATTATCTGAAATATTTATCATTTCTTTCTGGTGAGAGTACCTAAAATGCTTTCTTCTTGCTATTTTGAAATATACACTGGTTGTCTGTAGTCACCCTAATATGCAAAGAACACCAGAACTTATTTCTCTCATGTATAGGTACTTTTATATTTGCTGATCAACATCTGCCCTCTCTACTACCCAACCAAACCTCTAGTAACCACTCATTTATCTTAATTTACATTTACTATATGGCATGTTAATAAACCAAAGCTGCTCTAGGACTGAAAGAACACATATTAGAAAGAATCCAAATCTCAAGTCAAGCTAGGCATGGCAGTGCACACTTTTAATCCCAGCACTTGGGAGGCAGAGGCAGGTAGCCTGGTTCACATAGTGACTTCCAGAGGAGCTGGGTCTAGGGAGACTGTCAAAAAAAACTCAAAAAAAACCATCAAATCTCGAGTCAAAAGATATGTTTCTGAGCCAGGCACAGTGCTTCACAACAATCCCACCTATTCAAGGAGGCTGAGGAAAGAAGGCTGCAAGTTCACGCCAGCCTAGGCAACATAAATGGATCATGTTACAGGCTGGAGAGAGATGGCTCAGTGGTTAAGGCTAACAACCATCTGTAACTCCAGTTCCAGAGGAATCTAATGTCGTCTTCTGACTTCCATGGGCACTGCAGGACACAGGTGCACTTACATACACGCAGGCAGGTGCTCATATACAAAAAATAAAAATAAAATAAAAAAGGATCTTGTTACTTAAAAAAGGGAGGCAGATGTGGCTTAGCGGTAGGGCACTTGCCTAGCGTTTAAGAGGCCCTGACTACAATCCTCAGAGTGTGTGTGTGTGTGTGTGTGTGTGTGTGTGTGTGTTCCCTTATCTATAAAAAAGGGTAATAAATATTTCATAAGGATAATAATATATATTAGAGTAATATGTGAAAACTTTCTATACAAATACTAATTCTTGCTGTTTTGCTAGAAAATTAAGCCCCTGAAAGGTTCCAATTAAGCCTTTTTCATCTTCTAGTACAAGTATGCGATATACTACGTTTTCAAGATATGCTGAACACACCAAAAAGTCACTTCTTTCCTATCAAGTTTTAACCTAATTAATGTTTCTTTTGTTTGCTTGTTTTTTAAAGACTTGGTCTTGCTATGTGGGGTGACCTCAAACTCCCAACCATACTGTATCAGCCTCCTAATGCTGAAAATACAGGTTTGTCCCAGGCTATTAGGATGGCTCAGCAGATAAAGCACTTGCCACAAAGCCAGATGATCTGCGTTCAGTCCCCCAGGACTAACATGATAGAAGGAGAGGAGAGAACCAACTCCCATCAGTTGTCCTTTGACTTCCATAAGCATGCTACTGTGCAGGTGTGTGCCCCCACACACTCCCAAATAAATAAATACAGAAATACACAAATGCAATAAAAAATTTTAATGTGAACCTTATATTATCAGAATTGCCTGGAGTATTTACTTGCTTCAGTGCAGTTTCCAAGGCCCTAAAATAAGTGACTAAATCAAAATATCCAAAGGCACAATAAGAAATCTAAGCCATTATCAAGTTCTCTAGGTTATTCTTACATGTATAAAGTTTAAAATCACTGGTTTTGGGGAGAAAAGATGGACAAACCTATGTAAGGTTCTAGGTACTGAAAAGGTCCAGTACATGGTAAACAAATAATTTTAATTGAAATAGTTTTTTTCTTTTCATAACTAGATAACGTTTACAAGAAGACTTACATACTTGGATTTTTTTTTTTTTGCATTCCAAATTATATACTATTTCTACCTAAACTGATGAAGTTAAATCCAAATGAATAATGTACCATCTGAGTCAAAGTCTCATGTCATCTAACAATCTCCACAGATGTAAAAATCTGATATATAAGACAAAAAGGTTCCTTGGAATAAAGTTTATAGCCCAAACAGCAAGTATTTAATTTCTAGTGTATGATAAATAACATACCACTGTTTAACATACTTTTAATACTAATGACCAAATTTTCATTTTATATACCATTAGAGCTTATCAAACCTCAAAATCCTAGGAAACAATCTCAGAACACAGTGCCCTGAAACGGTGCTTCCTTGAGAAAAGCTACAAAAACCCAGGAGAAAAGCTGCTGGCTCAATTTAATGTTATCTTTTGAGTCCTGTGTTTTAGAACTTTTTATTTTTAAAAATAAATCTGTTACTTTAATTTTTAAAACTCCAAATATTATACAGAAGAAACTGAAGCAGAACAAGAAAAGTGACTTGACCAAAATCACCTAGAAAGGTATATGCTGAATTAGACTACAAAGTGCTTTTCTATTTTCTGGCCAAGGATTATTTCTGATACCAGATGCTCTACAGAAAGCTGACTAGAGAGCACCAGCATTTTTACTAACTCACTATTTCCACAAATTTATCCAAATTTTACCTACCTGAGCAATATGCCTCCAATGGCCAACTTCAGATTCAAGTCTTGAAACTTCATTTGACAATCTGTTGATTTCTTGTTGTGATGAAATTATGTCACCAAAGTCCATGTCATCTTCATGGAAAGCTGACGCATGATGACCAATCCCATAACCAAATGAAGATGACACAGTGGTTGCTGGTACACTGCCAGGTCCTGACTGCACTGACTGAGCAGCTGACTGCAGTTTCAGCAATTCATCCTGTAGTGCAATCTGTCTTGCTTTAAGGTGGCTGATTTCTACCTATGTATTCATAATCCATGTTTTAGAAAAAGTATTTTATAAAATGCATATTGGCCTTTTTATAGATTTTATAGATTTTAAGTTGAAAAGGCATAATGCTTTATATAAGATGAACCAATAAATGGAAGTTAAGTGAATCCAGAACTTCTATTGATACCTTAATCATAACATTTTTATGTAAAAAACATAATTACCATAGTTATTAAAGCACAGATGTTTCAAATAGTATGAAGATTAGAATGTCACTCAAATGTTAAACCAAGCAATGAATTTCTCAGTGAAACATGGTTTTGCTACTATCATAATACAAGTAATTTCTTAAAGCTCTGTTTATAAATTATCAGACATTAAGTAAGAAAACAAAAGCTATACCAACTTATACATTAAAAACTTTTCTTAAGGGGCTGGAGAGATGGCTCAGTGGTTAACAGCGCTGGCTGTTTTTCCAGAGGACCCAGATTCAGTTCCCAGCACTCACAGGATGGCTAACAACCATCCTAACTCCAGTTCCAAGGGATCCAACATCATCTTCTGACCTCTGAGGGCACTGCATGGCATGGGTACACTTACATACATGCAGGCAATAAACTCATACAAATAAAAAAAAATTTTTTTTGGTCTTTTTTTGAGACAGGGGCTCCCTGTAGCCCCAGCTGGCCTGAAACTCACTTTGTAGACTAGGGTGGCCTTGAACTCACAGAAATCTGCCTGCCTCTGCTGAGAGTCTTATGTAACTGATTATGGCTGGATTTAGGCTTAAAATGGTCCATAAGTCAGAGGTAACTTTGTACTGGTCTTAAAACACAGCTGGAAGAATGCTTTGATTTACTATCCAACCTTTTTAGATAAGTCCGTTTATGGTTATTAGCCCATGAGTTTAGAAGGAACTATGCATTAAAAGAAGCCCTGGCTTTAACACTGGCCAGTGAAAATCTGACCCTAGTTAGGGAAATAACAGTATACGAATTCTGAATTCTTAAGCAACCTTTTAACTAAAGACTGGTATACCAAATTATAAAGCTATGCATGGTAGCACACACTTATAAGCCCAGCAATCAAGCGGCTAAGGCAGGAGGATTGTTTTGAGTTTGAGCACAGCTTGGACTATATAATAAGTACATGACTAGAGCGGGCTACCAAGCAAAAACCTGTCTAAACGAAACAAAGCAACAACCTTCCTCTCCCCAAAAAGGCTAGACATAATAGCTCCACTGGCTAGTACTTTGCCTAGTATGCATCAAGCTCTGGGTTTGAACCCCAGTATTATATAAAACCAGGTGTAGTCAACATTGTCTGTAATCCCAGCACTTGTGAAATGGAGGTAGGAGAAAGATTAGAAGTCTAAGATTATCCTCAGTTATGTGCCAAGTTATCCTCCGTTATCATGAGGAAGTCTGAGATCAGCCTAGGCTATATGAGACCCTGTCTTTTAAAAAAGGAGGCAAGGGATATAGCTCAGTTGTAAAGATTCTGAACATGAAACAAGGCCCTGGATTCAATCCCAAGGAAGGAAGGGAGGGATGGAAGAAAGGAGGAAGGGGCAGGCCATGGTGGTGCATGCCTTTAATCCCCTCTGGAGAGGGACAGAGGCAGGTAGATCTCTGAGTTCAAGGCTAGTCAGGGCTACATAGTGAGATGCTGTCTCAAAGCATACAAACCAAAAAAACAAACAAACAAACAAAAAAACCAAACAGACATGGGTTTATGGTCTTATTTTGAACTTGTACCTCCATTTTATATTCATTTTATTCTTGCAGTAATTTATTTTAATAAGAAATTATCAATTATCAGATTGGAAACTCAACTTTTAAGTGTTTATCACAATGCATCACATTTTTATTTTACCTTATCAATAAAGAAACTAGAAATCAATTCTCTAAATTTGGAGGGAGAGTTTGGGGGGATTGTTCTGAGACAGGGGGTCCTGTAGCCCCAGCTGGCCTGGGACTCACTTTGTAGACCAGGCTTGCCTTGAACTCACAGAGATTCACCTGCCTGGGACTTAAGGTGTGCACCACCACACCCAGCCTAAATTCTCTAAATTTTTGATTCCTTTTGTTCTGGTTTAGGTTTTTTGTGGTGCTGGGAACTGAATATAGGGGCCTCACACATGCCAGCAAGCACTCTATTGCTGAGGGATAGTCTCAACCTTCATCTAAATTTTTAGCACTCAAATACAAAGCGATGGTAGAAATGATTATTTGGTCAACAAGTTAAAGAACACCCCCCAAAATCATTTGGCTAATAAAGCAGGAACAGATTCTACTTATTAAACACAGAGGGAAATCCAACAACAGGATTCAGGGTAACATCAGTCAAATCACATAGTATTTATCGTAGTAGTATCTATTAAAAGGCTGCAAAGACAAGGGAGGACAATCCAAAAGCAACCATTTCAATTTAACTACAAGAAAACAAAACACGGGGCTGGATAGATGGCTCAGCAGTTAAGAGCACTGACTGCTCTTGCAGAGGACCCGGGTTTGATTCCCAGCACCCACATGGTAGCTACGAACCATCCTTAACTCCAGTCCCAGGGGAATCCGAAGCCCTCTTCTGATTTCCGAGGCATTGCATGACATGGGTGCACTTACATGCAGACAATATACTCACACATACAAAATAAAAATAATAGAAATTTAAAATATTAAAAAAAAGAAAACAAAACACATAAAATAGTCAATAGTAATAAACTTAATATTGCTTTATATGGAAAATCAAGTACATGGCAATACAACGAACATTAATACTTATAGTCAAAATGTATTTTGACAAAGAAAAATGGCATTAGTAACGATCACACTGACTTGAAACAACTTAAAAATAACTAGCATGTATAAGGTCCTGGGTTCAATTCCAAGCACCACAAAAATAAATGAATGTTTAAAAAAATTAAGAAAGCAGACAATAAATTAGGTTTATATATAAAAATCAGAAATTATAAGCAACAGATTACAATATTTTATTTTTTAAAAATCTCTTCTTTTGGAAACTAGAAATTAATCTGTACAAAAGTTAACCTATGTAAACATAACAGGAAAACTTTCATTTGTATTAAATTGAGCTGTTTCAATACGTTCATGGATCTAAAACTAGCAGTGAAATCATTAGAATAAGCATGCACCTCTTTCTGCTGCAGCTGGCTTCGGTAACTCATAGACTGCTGCTTTATTTGAAGTTCTGAAGCTTCATGCTTTTCTTCTAGGTCAGTGCAAAGTTTTTTAAGTCTTTCATTCTAGAAGGAAGAAAAAATATTTTCAACAAAAAGATTTCACCTCAAGCATGTTAGTAATCATTACATGCATACATCATAAAAAATTATTTTACACACAAAAATGATGTAAAATAATAAGGTCTCTGACAGAATTCTGGCCTTTAAAATACATTTTCAAATTAAAATTTTAAATACATTAAGCATGTTTAATTGTAATATGCCTAACTGCAAATCAAGGAGAAAAACCCACTTTATTCTTTTGATTTTCTGCTAAGAAAAAGCCACTGAACATTCTTCCTATCTTTGGATACCCAATGTCTAGCATACAGAAGACAACACATGTCTAGTAAATGAATGAAGAAATACACGCTGAAGCTTTTGTTTTCTCCCTAAACAGTAGAACCTAGAAAAAAAAAAATTAAAGATCTGTTGGAGTATGTGTAGGAAGCTAAAGCCTCACACTATTTGCATATACCCCAGGTTCCCTGAGGCACATCTGAAAATTTTCATTTGATAACCACTTCTAAATGGTGGTGGTCTATGCCTGCAATCCCAGCACTTGAAGAGCTAAGACCAGAGGATTATTGAGTTCAAGGCCAGGCTAGGCAACATACTATCAGGCAACATCCTGTTAAGAAACAAGAGTGAGCAGGGCGTGATGGTCCACGGCTTTAATCGCAGCACTCAGGAGGCAGAGGCAGGTGAATCTCTGTGAGTTCAAGGCCAGCCTGGTCTACATAGTGAGTTCCAGGACAGTTAGGGCTACAGAGAGACCCTGTCTCAAAATGACCAAAGGGAGCCAGGTGTGGTGGCACACGCCTTTAATCCCAGCACTCAGGAGGCAGAGGTAGGTGGATCTCTGTGAGTTCAAGGCCAGCCTGGTCTACATTGGGAGTTCCAAACAGCTGGAGCTACAGGGAGACCCTGTCTCAAAAGGACCGGAAAAAAAAAAAAAGACCAAAGGGGGCAAAAAAAGAAAAAAAGAAAAAAGAAACAAGAGTGAGAGGGGCTGGAGAGATGGCTCAGTGGTTAAGAGCACTGGCTATGTTTGCAGAGGACCAGGGTTCACTTCCCAGTACCTGCATGACCATCCATAACTCCAGTTCTAGGGGATCTGATGCCCTCTTCTAACCTCCATGAGCACTGCATGACATGGGTGCCCTTACACACCACACGTGCAGGCAATACACTCATATACATAAAATAAAAAAAATAACAAAATGTTAAAAAAAGAAGAGTAAGAGGGAGAGGGGGGAAGGGGAGATGGGAGGAAAGGGTGGAAGAGGGAGGGGGAGGGAGGAAGAAGAGGAAGGAGGGAAAGAAGGACTACGAAAGGAGAGGAAGGGAGGGAGGAAAAGGAAAGGAAAAGAGAGAAAGAAATAAATACATTAGTATTCCTCAGTTTGAAAAATCTGTTAGAAATTTACAAGATAGAGACGGGGCTTGCAGAGCAATGGAGCACCACCAGTCCAGTAAGTAGTGGAGACATTAAAGTATACAAAATAGTCTCGTTTTAAAATGATTTATTTTATCTTTCATTGTGGGGGGAGGGGCTTTATATGCACGTATGTGCTGGTGCCCTCAGATGCCAGAGTCATTGGATCCTCTAGAGCTGGGGCTACAGGTGGTTATGAGTTGCCTGTTATGGGTGCTGGAAATTGAACTCTGTCCTCTGGAAGAGGAGCATGTGTTCTTCCCCAGAGTCATCTCTCCAGCCACCTACAAAATAGTTTTTAAGAAATTCACTGATTCTAGGTATCATGGTGATCTTTTCATATGTTGAAAAGATGAAAAATAACTCATTTTATGTATGTAAAAAGTAAATGATTGTTATTATTATTCAGTCTTGTTCCTTAACAACTAGACACTGGATGACAAAGCTGAGATCATGCTAGAAGCCAGGCCAGTATACTATCAAATGACTAAGTCAGGAGTGGTAGGCAGAAATAAGAAAAATGTGATAAAGTAAGAAAAGCGGACCCTAAAATTATCTACAAAAGAGAATTCACAATTATAATCTATGATTAAACCTACAAGAGAGTTTAACAATGATAACGGAGAAAAAGGAGACTGATGGTGCAAAAAATGTTCCAGGCAAGGATTTTCTTTGTACGTTACATGGTCACCTGTCTTGAGATTCTAGGAACTTTTGACATCAAGAAACATGAAAATTATGATCCAGGGAACTACATGAACCCTCCAGGAAATCTGAAATTTTTCATTTGATAACCACTACTAAATGGCTGTGGTGCATGCCTGCAATCCCAGCACTTGAAGGGCTGAGCCCAGATTACTGAATTCAAGGCCAGGCTAGGCAACATAGTATCAGGCAACATCCCGATCAGTGAGAATAAAAGAAGTTTAGAATCCACAGGTCCTCATTTGGGCTTTTATTCCCCAAATCTAACAAAGCCTGGGTGTCTTGAAGGAATAGGATTTTTAAAAACTTATATATATTTTTTTATTATTTATTATTTTTATTTTATGTGTATGAGTGTATTGCCGGCATGTGTGTAAGTGCACCCATGTCGTGCAATGCCACGAAGGTCA